CAACCTTTTGGTAAGCAGCCAAGCACTTAACTTCCTGCTTGAAGGGACGACTAATTCTGACAAGAAGGGCACGTCATTAAGGGTAGGGGTTATGAATGGCAGTGGCAACACAGGCAGTGAAGCTCCAGCTGGAATTCTGGAAACACACGATTCACTATTTTGGTGTATGATCAAATCCCAAGTCCTGGGATTTCTAATTTGTTTAAATTCATTTGCTTTAAAATCTTTCAAATAAGGTCACTTGTGCTTATGTGCTTGTCCCTCTTAACAGCAGATAGAAGTCAGTGTAACAAAGCTGCCTGAATCAATGTTTCTTCAGCCTCAGGAGGCCAAAATCCTAGAAATATCTATGAGCATTCTCCTAAGGTTACATTTAACCTTCCATTTCACCTAACATATAATTATTACTATTAAAGAGTCATTTAGAAACTCTTTACGCACACCAGTGCTGATTGCAGCACTTTTCGCAAGAGCCAGAAGGTGGAAACAAGTGAAATGCTCAACAACAGATGAATGGATAAACAGAATGCGGCACACGCACAATGGACAGTATGCAGCCATGAAGACCAATGACGTCTTGATGCATGCAACAACACAGCTGAACCTTGCAAAATAAGTCAGCTGTAAAAGGACAAATACTGCAATACCCTGCTTATATGAAATAAGCAAACAGATAGAAACTAAAGATTATTAATGGTTGCCAGGAGATGGGGGAGAGAGAGTTTTTGTTTGAGGGTCATTGAGTTTATGTTAACAGAGGTGGAAAATTTTGAAAAAGTATAGCCATCATGGTGGTACAACGTGAAAAATTATTGCCGTCACTGAGTTATGAATGTGTAAGTTGTGCTGGTGAATGCTTTGGTGTGTATATTTTTATCACAATTAAAAAAAAAAAAAAGAACAATTAAAAAACAAAAAAAAGGAAGAAAGAAATGTCTTTCCAAGTGCAAACAAGAGCAAAGCATCAACAAAGACTCAGGCCAGGGCAGAAGTTAGGACTGCATGAGAGAGGCCTGGCTTCCCAAATGGCCATTTCCCTTGAGGCAGGATGGAAAACGGGATGACCACCAGACTAACGCTGAATTCAGTTATGTCATTTGTCTCAGAGTCAAAAATTCTGCTGTAGGTTTATAAAGACAATGCTCTACATTCTACCTTGGTGAGTAGTGTCTGGGGTCTTAAAAGCCTGTGAGTGGCCATCTAAGATACTCCACTGGTCTCATCCCT